GCTCCGCACACATCGCTTGAAGGCAGGAAGTGGGCGAGGGCACTCGTCCTCGTGGCTGGCTGGCCACCTAGGCAGAAGCTTGCCGAGGGCTGCCTGGCAGGTTCAGCTCACCTCCCGTGCGTCACCCAGTCATGGGGCTGGGTGGGGCCACCCAGGAAACCGGGGCAGGGCGGGGGGCAGGGCAGTCCTTTCTCCTGACCTTGGCCTGTGCCGCACCCCCAGGGGGAGCCAGGTTAGCTGCGTGCCACACCCTGGCCCTCTCCTGGAACAAGCAGATCTGCAGGGCGCCCCTTAGGGAGCCCACAGAGGCTGCCTTGAGCCGGGGTGGCATCCTGGTGTGGGCAGGCCAGGCCTCTGAGCTTGAGGACTGCTTTCTCTTTCACTTTCCTGGGCCTCTGTAGCAGCGGGCATGGGGCCTTCCCCCATCGGCCCGTCCCACTGTGGGCTGCTTGCAAGTGTTTCTCAATCCCTGTGCCTTGGGCTAGGTCAAGGGGCTTCCTTCTGGGGAGCCCAATCCCTGAGCTAGGGAGCCGCCGGCACCACACTCCAGCTCTGGCCCGCCCCCATGCCCAGGCCAGCCAGACTTTCCACATCAGGAAGGGGAGTGGTACTGTGGCTGCCCAGCGAGGAAGTGACGTGGGGGCTCGGCTTGCTGTGTGGGCTGCGCAGAGATGGGCAGCTTCTGGAAAGGCTGCCTGAGCTCTGCGGCCAGAGGATGCCAGGCCCCTCCCCTCACGCACCTGAGGTCTTGCTGACTTCTCCCGGGGGAGCAATGCCCACCTGGCGCCCCCGTCTCGCACTCAGGGTCAGGAACCTGGAGTGGCGTTCCTGTCAGTCTGCGGCAATTCTCTGGGGTCCTGTGCTGGAGGATGGCAGGGAGGTGGAGTGGGGAGCCTCAGTGCCTCTTCTGTAACTTTCCCCAGAAGGACAAGGAATGTGTGGTCCGGTAACACACCTGCCTGACATGTGTGCTGGTCGGCATTCACCCCTGTCATCATGTCACTAGTGTAATTTCTGGAGTCCCGTGTCTGTGGCTGGGATGCCGTGACAGGTCAGCTTCCTGGGGACAGGTGGCCTGCAGCATCTGGGTCCCTCCTGCCCAGCCCATGGACCCCTGCAGAGGTCAAAATGGAGGTGACACCTCTGGGAGCTACCCTCCTCGGGCTCTCCCTGGGCCTGCTCCCCAGGCGGCCTGAGATGGAGAAGGCCTCAGCGTGTGGCTCCAGACCCAGGTCAGAGCAGAGGCCCACACCTGTGCTGGCAACCACGCTCATCTTGGTGGCACTTAGGGAACCCAGTGCTGCAAACACGGGGGCCTGGGTCAGGGCAGCCCCTGGGACGCGCCCCACCCAGTGGGGTCTGAGCATGTGGTGGCTCCCACAGGACATGGTAGAGGTGGTATGGGCAGGACCCCTCCGGAGTTGACTTGAGGTCGGAGGGTGTCGGCATGGTGTCCCAAGTGTCGGCCCCCGCTCCTGCACGCTGCCGTGAGGAGGCTGTGCCGTGTGTGCATTGAAAAACTGGCTTGTGGGCTCACCTGGCAGGCTTGGTTCCCGGAGGACTTCCTCCCTGCCAGCCCCTGGTGGGTGGACAGCTGCAGGTGTGAGGGTCCCAGAAGTCAGGGAAGCTGCCTGGGGAGTGCTTTTAGTGGACAGGAGACCTGGGAGCAAAATCAGAGGGCGAGATGGGCCTAGCAAACCAGCGCTGACCCTGCCTCCCTGCCCTGTGCCTGGCCCAGAGCCGCAGGCCGGTGCTGGCCTGCCTGAGCCTGCTCAGCTGCAGCCGCGTGAGCTGCAACGCCTGGAGCTGGACTCCAGGAAGCCGGGGGAAGCCGGGCCTAGCTGCCCTCCTTGCCCGGGCCAAGCTGGGAGGAGTCTGCTTTTCCACACACTGGGGACTTCCTGCCCAAACTGTCCAGTGTCAGGGCTCCACTTGGTGCTCTCTGGTCTGTCTGGAGGGTGGGGGCCTGCCTGGGGGCCTCTGCAGCCTTGGGGGCAGGGCAGGGCGGGGGCGGGGCCTTCTCCAGGACCTGCCCTTTGTGTTCGCTGGGATCCTGGGCAGGCTGTCTGCGGAAGCCACAGTGCAAGGGCTGGGCCACCGGAGTGGCTGCCGCCGGCGTCTGGAGTAGGAGCTGTGCCTTCGCGTCCCCCAACCCAGGGGAGCCGCCCCGCCTCCCTGGCGTGTGCCCCTCCGCCTGCAGCTCTGACAGTAGCCTACAGCCAGTCACTCTTTATCCAAGTTGGAGGAACTTGTTTACCTCATCCCAGAATACAGTGCTGTGGGAGTCCTTCTAAACAGACTCGCTTCTTCACAGCCTTGTTTCAGCTGCCCGCGTCTCTAACCAGCTTTGCCCGGGCCAGGCGGGGCTCAGCAGGACAGGCCTTGGAAGACCGTCCCGCCCCGCCCTGCCGCAGCCACGTGTGTTCCGTTGATGAGTGGGGTGGGGTGTGCTAGCAAAATGCACGAAACTGTAATATACATTCTAGACGGAGAGCTTGTCAGAAGCCCTTGCCTTGTGGCTTCTCCATACCAGGTTTCTTCTGTAGCTGTTTGCTGCATGGACCTTCATCCCCTGGCATGCTGCGTTCAGGCCTTGGAGAAGAAGGCCTGCCTCTAGTAGCCCATCATGTGTGCTTCTGGGTGTCCGTGCTGTGTGCTAGCTTGCCCTGCTCAGAGCGGACCTCCATGGCCTGGCCCAGCCCAATCCACAGAGCAAGGCCTCAGGTGCCACGTGCGATGGGGTTCCTGGGGGGTGGAGGGGGCAGTGCCATGCCAAGCCCCAGAGCCCCAAGCCTAGCTCATGGCTCCTGGGCGGCAAGTTAATTTACACCATACAAAGTGGCAGAGCGTGAGGGTGAGAGAATTTATTCCTAGCTGGTCTTTATGAAAATGGCAGTTGGCTGGGAAGGCGGTGGGGTTTGTGGCATGGGATGGAACAGATTAAGGACTTGGAACAGAGCCACCTACAGGTTTGTGTAAACAGAGCTGTGTGTGTGTGTAGTGTGGATGAAGCCATGTGTGTGCAGTGTGGGCTTTGCTGTGTACTCGCAGTGTAGACGGAGCTGTGTGTCTTATAGGGGTGTATGAGCAGAGCCGGTTACGTACACACCTCCTTAGCAGGGCTGTGGCCGGGCCCAGCCAGCCCATGGATTTAAACTCTGGGTGATTTTCATGCAGCCGCCTCCACTGTAGACTTCAGAGCATTTTCATCCACACAGAGTCTGTCTTGTGGCAGCCCTGCCTTCCGCAGCCTGCCCTGCCCAACCCCAGGATGCAGTGCCTGGGCTCTGCTAGGGCAAGAGTCCTCCCCCCACCCCCGGGCAGGTGGGCGGAGTGCCTACTCCCTGACACCCCTGGGAGCCCAGTGACCCACTCCCTGCTTCCCTGCGTCTCCTCCTTGAGATACCTGTGTTAAGGTGGTTTGCAGTAGAGGGAGTCAGGAAATGCTTTTAAAATAACTGTTAAGCAAATGATAGATAAATGTTTATTGTGACAGTGTAAATGGAAAGGGGGATTGCAGCCAGCCACTGCCCTGCTCTCCCCAGGGCCTGGCTGAGTCTGCAGTGTGTGGCCGGGACGCCTGTGCCATCCCCTCCCACACTGCATAGTGTCAGCAAAGCAGAGGCAGGTGCAAAGAGGTGTCTCGCCCACCCCACTCTCTGCTGGAGCTGGGTTGCTTTTGCCCACAGCCGGGGGTCCAGCCAGGCTCTGCTTTCTGCTCCTTTAGTGTGGGGTCCTGGGGACCACGTGTCCCTCCGCATCCTCGTGCCCCAGCCCTGGGCCTGACACCCTCAGGCACGGCACACTGTCTTTGAGTGGGCCCTGGGGACTCGGCATGGTCTGAGCAAAGGCTCTCTCTGGCTCAGGCTGGCGGCTACAGGTGGAGCTCGCCTCGGTCCCAGTCGAGCTCTGGGCCAGGCCACGGGTTCCGTGAGCAAGCATCTTAGAGGAGTGGCCAGGACGGCGCCAGTGCTGGGACAGGAGGCAGCGCAGCAAAGGACTCCTGTGTGAGTGCAGAGAAGAGAATAGCTGAGGTTGTAAAGATTTATTATCTATTTGAAAAGCAGAGGGAGACACAGAGATCTTCATCTGCTGGTTCACAGCTCCCCAGGTGACAATCAGGACAGGCCAGGCCGGAGCCAGGAGCTCCATCCTGGTCTCCCCTCTGAGTGCAGAAGCCCAAGCATGTGGGCCACCCTTTGCTACCTCCCTAGGGTGCAATTGGCAGGGAGCTGGGTGGGAAGTGGGACAGCCAGGAGTTGAACCCAAGTACTGTGATGCAAGACCCAGGCATCCCAAGCAGTACCCTGACCACTGTCACATGCCGACCCCCGAATATTGCAGGCTACGGTAAATCGGCTTGGGTGGATCTTTCAGCAAGGGCCTGAGTCCGATCTGCTAGATGCTCCCACTCGGAGACAGATTCCAAGTCCCTGGTCCCAGTTTCATGCTGGGGAGCGTCAACTTGTGTCTGTGGCCCGTAGACACGGCGCGCCCAGCCCTTCTGCCCTGGCTGTGTGTCTTCAGCCACAGCTGCAGGGCAGCTCCTGGGCAGTCCCTGGGCACAAGGCTCCAAGGCCCGTCTACTGGCAGAGATGGTGTGCTGGCTTAACCATGCCTGGGCTCCAAAGCAGCGTGGCCTTGACTGTCACCACCTGGTGCCCCTGACTGGCGCATGGTGCTGCCCAGGAGGAAGCTGGAGCTGACTGTGAGGCTGCTAGTGCTCCCTGCCCCCACCCCGGTCAGGGACCTCTCGGAGGTGGCTTTGTCAGTGTTTGGGATATTTGTCTCTCTCTGTTCACACATACAAGCAGAGGCTAACTGATGGCAGGGGACATAGCAGACAGCCACAGTGGTCATGAGGGTGGCAGGACAGTTCAGGGAGGCATGGGGGTGCGCACGGTGTGGCTCCAGGGCCCCAGCTGCTGCCCCTCCTGGCCGCCGCCCAGCTGCTGCGCCTCCTGGCCGCCACTGACCTCCTGCTCTCCCTCCTGCTGCAGGTGCACTTTCCGCTTCCCCAGCACAGCGATAAAGATCCAGTTCACGTCTCTGTACCACAAGGAGGAGGCCCCGGCGTCGCCCCTTCGGCCACTGTACCCCCAGATCTCCCCACTCAAGATCCACATCCCGGAGCCGGATCTCCGGAACATGGTCAGCCCCATCCCCTCCCCGACCGGCACCATCAGGTAAGCCACGGGCGTTACGCTGTGATCTATCTCGAGACGTTGAAGGTGTTTTGAAGTCAGGTTTGCATCCCAGGACCCAGTGAGGCTTACTTTCCTAAACTACCTCCGAGCCTGGAAGCTGGGCAGCGCCTGGGAGCTGCTGCAGGTGTCGCGGCAGCTCAGCCTCGCACAGGGCCTGAAGTGCCCAGAGCGCGGGGAGCTGAGCCACCTGCTGACCGGGGTCACTCCATGGCGGTTAGGGTCATCTGTGAGCGTTGGCTTCTGTGCACAGAGCACTGGGGACGGGGTTCCCCTGCCTGTCTGGGCCTCTTGTTGCGCAGCCCCGGCCCGGGAACTGCCTGCTTTGGGAGCAGGTCTGCCTGTGTGAGCATGGAGCAGTCCAAGGACAGCACGCATGTCTGCCCCTGAGCTGGACCTGTGGCTGGCTGGTGTCTGGGCTGGGTTGCTGCAGCTGCTCACTGTGGTGACTGGGGAAAAGGCGGAGGTGTGCCCAGCCCTCAACACAGCGGCTGCCCTTTCTGGCTTTAGATGTGAGGCAGTGACCTGGCTGCATGACTAGGCAGGAGCCTGCCACCCGGGTCCTGGGCATCTGGCCTAAGGCTAATCCTACATGTGGCTGCCACGTAGCTCACTGCTGACTGCACCTAGTCCAGGTGGCGGCGGGCATTCCGGTGGACTCAGGTCCATGTGGGAAGTGACCCCGAAGGTTCAGCACCCTAGGGCATCGCTGCCCACCCAGTGCTGCCCCGGCTCCTGGAGGCAGTCCAGAACCCAGCTACCTGTCGAGGGTTAACAGGTGTGGGCCGCCACATGGTGGGAGACCCTGGCCCACAGGTGGCCTCAAGGATGCCTGACACCACGTGGGTAGTTGTCCCAGGGGCTGGTCACGGAGGGGTGAGTGATGAGAAGGTACTATAAAGTGTCTCGAGGAATTAAAACCCTTGCACTGCTTACATCTCTGAGCCCCAAGTCGCCAGGGCAGAGGCTCTACGCATCCCAGGGCGCACAAGGCCTTACGCTGCTGGACACCAGGACAGGCTGCCGGCCAGGGGCTGGGCTGGCAATGGGTCTCAGGGCCCGCAGCCCAGCCCGCGGCTTACGGAGGGTGAACTGTGCCAGCAGCGACCACGCGGCCCACCTGTGGGAGTGCCCCCTCGTGCCCCGCGACAGGGACACACAGGGCTCAGTCCACAGGCCTGTCCTGCTGCCTGGGCAGCATGGTTTGCCGACCGTGTGACGTAGGGCCTTTAATTCAGTGTCTGTTTACATCCGCTTATCTGAGCTCTGTGGAATTCAGGCGAGCTTTGAGGTTTGGCCTCTCGGTTTGAGTTTCTGCGGCTGGGCGGGGTCCACGTGTTTACAAACACCCTGGCCGCTGGGGCCAGCTCTGCCCCGCCTTGCAAGCCGGCCCCGCCTCCCGGCCCTGGCCCCGCCCTCCCGGCCCTGGCCCCGCCCTCCCTCCCGGCCCTAGTCCCGCCCCCGCCCCGCCCTCCTTCCCGGCCCTAGTCCCGCCCCGCGTCATCAGGCCCTGGCCCCGCCCCGCGTCATCCGGGGCCCGCCCTCCGCGGCCTGCGCCTGCCTCACTGGGTGTGCCTGCCCCGCAGGCCGGCGTGGTCCTCCCGCAGGCCGGCGTGGTCCTCCCGCAGCCCGCGCCTTCCGAAGAGGCCGCCCCGGTCGCGCCGCCCGCCCCGGTCGCCCCTCGCGGGGTCGGCTTGGCAGGCGGGCCTCCCGGAGGGGGCAGGAGGCGAGGAGCCGCGCCCCTGAGATGAATGGGCGCTGGCGGAAGTGCGCTCTGACCTTGCCTCGTTCACAAAGGAGTGTTGCAGGAAGGCGTAAACCGGTTCATCCCCGAGTGGGGCTGAGACCGAGCCCTGCGAGCGCCCAGCGCGGTTCTGGAAGCTTCTCCCGGCAGGCTTTTCCCACCGGCCGTTCCTCCGCTGCCCGGGGACACTCACCGCCCCGGCTCCCCCTCAGCTCCCGGGGTGTCCCGGCTCTGCGCCCCGCTGGCAGGATGCCTTCCAGGATGAAGTCTTACTGATTTACTTTGTCTTGGAAAGGCAGAGTTTGAGAGGCTTCTCTCCTTCTTTGCTGGATTTCACTTTCTTGTCATTTGAAAGACAGAGCCCCTCCGCCCACCGCCTGCCTCCCTCAGTGCCACAGGACTGGCCAGGCAGCAGCACCCTCGGGTCTCCCACGAGGCCGCAGGGGCGAGGGGCCCATCTCCTGGCCCACACAGGGCATGCGCAGGCAGCAGTGGGGCTGGCTGAGTGGGCTCCCTGGGGAGCTGTGTGAGCAAAGCCATGATGCCCCGGGTTCGCAGCGCCCCGCGGACGGGCCAGCACGGGTGCTGAGAGCTGGCCCTGGCTGCCCTCCGCCGTCCCTCCATGCGGCATCGTCGTGTGGGGATGGTGGCCTGTTCTCTTGATGCTCTCACTGGGCAGTAACCATGAGCTCCACCCAGCCTGATGCCAGGCGATGGCTGGGGCCCCAAGGGACATGTGGCGTGGCAGCTTAGGGTATGTTCAGGGCGAGGGGAGCCCCGTGCAAGGGCAGACTCAAAGCCATAGGGTGCCCTCTGCCCCACTCAGTGCCCAAGTAGGTGTGTTTGGAAAGCCCGGTGCTGTTGAGGGGGTTCCCCCTGCCTGCCTGACCTCACCTAGTAAGTTTGGGCCTTATTTTGGGGTACTGAGTGAGACCCAGGAAGGCTCTGTGTGTCCTTTGGCTCATCAGGCCCGAATGGTTGTGGGTCTAAGTCTGACCTTGGGTCCTGCGGGGGAGGGAGGCCGACCCTGGCCCCGAGTCCCTGTGGTCAGCTGGGCTGCCGGCTTCCTCCGAGTCAGGCCCTGGTGTCTCGCTGGCTGCTTGCTCTGGCAGAAGAGTGACGTCTGAGCCCAGGTGTTAGGACAGGGCAGGGTGCCTCAGGTGCCCCATGCGTCCAGTGACCACCGAGCGGGGAGTGTCTCCAGAGTGCTTTCCGCCTGGGCCCCTGCATTCATCTATGGGTATCTGGATTAGAAGCTCAGGGGAGAACTTGGATGTGGTTTGATAACCAAAGCCAGTCTCCAGGCGTAGGGCTTAGCAGCCAGCCACTGAAATGCAGCCCTAAGCCCCAGAGGCGCATGGTGTGTGTTAGGGGCAGGAGCGGCAGCCCTTCTCAGCTCAAGGGCACGGGGACCCCGGCTGTGGACCCCGGCTGGGGACCCCTGCAGGATAGGTCCAGGCAAGTAGTCAGTGTTGTCTGCGGCGAGCAGCCTTGGATCCGCGCCTTCTTCAGGGCGCCCCCGTGTGGACATCTGGGCACCAGCAGGCCAGTGGCATCTCCCTGCTGCTCGGCCGCCAGGCTGCAAGAGCTGGACCCTCCTGTCAGTGACCACGAACTTACTCGTGCCCTTTTCCCCTCAGTGTCCCCAACTCCTGCCCAGCCAGCCCGCGTGGAGCAGGCTCCTCTGGCTACCGCTTCGTCCAGAATGTGACCTCGGACCTGCAGCTGGCCGCTGAGTTTGCTGCGAAGGCCGCCTCGGAGCAGCAGGCGGACACGTCCGGAGGAGACAGCCCCAAGGTCTGACCGCGTCCAGGACCGGGGGGGCTCCGGGCACGGCTTCTGACGGGGTGGGGGCAGGGCGAGTTTCCGTGTTGCAATGGGAGGAGGACGCATTTTCCTTGTAGCCTCGTGTCTATCCATCTCCACCGGAAAACTCAAAAAGTTTACCTGCTAAGGAAGTGAGAAATGGTTGCCTTAAGTTGTGAGAATCCGGTTCTCGCTTCCCGTGAGGCCACAGTGGCTGTCGCCGGCCTTGGCATGAGCCCCTGGCCGGGCCGGCCTGAGCCTGGTCCCCACGTCCGCAGGACGAGTCGAAGCCGCCCTACTCGTACGCACAGCTGATAGTGCAAGCCATCTCCTCGGCGCAGGACAGGCAGCTCACGCTGAGCGGCATCTACGCGCATATCACCAAACACTACCCGTACTACCGCACTGCCGACAAGGGCTGGCAGGTGAGCTCGCCGGCGCGGCGGGAGCCTGGCGGGGACGCCCGGCCCGCTGGCTGACTCCTGTGTCCCCACAGAATTCCATCCGCCACAACCTGTCGCTGAATCGCTACTTCATCAAGGTGCCCCGCTCCCAGGAGGAGCCGGGCAAGGGCTCTTTCTGGCGGATCGACCCGGCCTCCGAGGCCAAGCTGGTGGAGCAGGCGTTCCGGAAGCGGCGGCAGCGGGGCGTGTCCTGCTTCCGCACCCCCTTCGGGCCCCTGTCCTCCAGGTATGTGGTCCCCGGCGGAGATGGGGAGGGCGGGGCCCGAGACCGTCCATCTGTAGGCCAGCGCAGGGTCTGGGAGCTCCGACACCATGCCAGGGGGCAGGTGAGTGAGCTGCTGGGGGAGAAGCACCCGTGATGTGCCCCCGCCCTCCCTGCTCACCCAGGGCCCGTGCTGGGGAGTGTGGCGAGGCGGCCCACAGCTCCCTGTGCTGGCAGTGTGGCGAGGTGGCCCACAGCTCCCTGTGCTGGCAGTGTGGCGAGGCGGCCCACAGCTCCCTGTGCTGGCAGTGTGGCGAGGCGGCCCACAGCTCCCTGTGCTGGGGAATGTGGCGAGGCGGCCCACAGCTCCCTGTGCTGGCAGTGTGGCGAGGCAGCCCACAGCTCCCTGTGCTGGCAGTGGAGCTGCTGGGGTGACTCCCCAGGTCTCTACCAGCACCTAGCCACAGCCACCTGCCTGCCTGGCCCACTTCCCAGTGTTGGGCGAGGCCGCGTTTACAGGGGGCTGGGCCACTGGTCCCATCGCACTCTGGTGGGGGCCGCGGAGTGGGGCGCCTTGGTGGGGACATGGCTGCTGCTGTCCATCGCCTCCCCGCATAGCCCTGCCGACGGAATGCTGGGCCGCTCATCACTCAGCATGCTGACTCACCTCGCTCCCCTCTGCCTCCCTTCCTCTCCAGGAGCGCTCCGGCCTCGCCCACACACCCCGGGCTCATGTCCCCTCGTTCCAGTGGCCTGCAGACGCCAGAGTGCCTGTCTCGGGAGGGCTCGCCCGTCCCACACGACCCTGACCTTGGGTCAAAGTCAGCCTCCGTCCCTGAGTACCGCTATTCCCAGAGCGCACCCGGTAAGGGCGGCCGGGTCCTCCCGGGTGGTGGCGGGGCGGGCCAGGGGCTAGCCTCACACCCACTCTCTGTCTCCCCCAGGCTCCCCCGTCAGCGCCCAGCCAGTGGTCATGGCCGTGCCCCCCCGCCCGTCCAACCTGGTGGCCAAACCTGTGGCCTACATGCCAGCCTCCCTGGTGGCCTCGCAGCAGCCCTCGGGCCACGCAATCCACGTGGTGCAGCAGGCCCCCACGGTCACCATGGTCAGGGTGGTCACCACTGCCGCCAGCTCTGCCAATGGTTACATCCTGGCCAGCCAGGGCTCTGCCGGCGGCCCCCACGACACGCCAGGCACCACGGTGCTGGACCTGGGCGGGGAAGCCAGAGGTAACTTGACGCGCAGGAATGAACCCCAGGCGGAAGAGGGGCGGGGGGCCTGACCTTTCTCCCTGTCCTGCTGGGCCTGGAGGATGCTGAACTAGGCTGGGGCATCCTGTGTAAAATTGCTGTGGCCTCTCTGGGTGTGGAAAGATGTGGGGTTCCCCAGGGAGCCCTGAGCCTGGGGTGGGAGGGCCACCCGGGGCCTTGGGGAGGCCGGCGCCTGGCCCTGTAAGCTGTTGCCACTGTTCCTTGCCCGGTGTCTGGAGTGGCCAAGTCCTGAGGGTTTTTTGATTTATTTGTTAGTTTTCACATGCTCTCTCACAGGGCCCTGCTCGCCACTGTTTCCTCAGAACCCATCTCCTCTGTGGGATTTTCCTTTTTAAAAAAGATGTATTTGTTTGAAAGGCAGAGTTACAGAGAGACAGACAAATCTTCGTCTGCTGGGTCGCTCCCCACATCACCACAGTGGCTGGCTGGGCCGGCTCAAAGCCGGGAGCGGGGAACTCCGGGTGTCCCACCTGGGTGCAGGGCCCTGGGGCTCGGACCATCTTACACCGCGGAGAGCTGGAGCAGTGCAGAAACGGAGCTGGGGTCCAGCTGGTGGCTTTACCTGCTACGCCCCAGCCCAGGCCCCAGACTTCCCTTCTGCGCCCGTCTGCCCAGCCAGAGCGATGGGTGCCCGGGCGTGGGGCTCCACCACATGGTTCTGACGCACTTGGTCCCCACAGGCTTGGAAGAAAAACCCACTATTGCGTTTGCCACAATCCCTGCGGCTAGCCGGGTCATCCAGACGGTGGCCAGCCAGATGGCACCTGGGGTCCCTGGCCATACGGTCACCATCCTGCAGCCGGCCACCCCCGTGACCATCGGACAGCACCACCTCCCCGTCCGCGCCGTCACTCAGAACGGGAAACACGCCGTGCCCAGCAGCTTAGGCAGCAGCGCTTACGGTAAGCCCAGCCACTCCCTGCTGCGCCAGGCCCACCAAGCCTGCTCAGACGCCTAGGCACGGGGCGGGACCACACGGAGGGGCTCAGGGTGGTCTCCCAGGGGCGATTGAGCCCCTGGGTGCCGAGTGGGGCTGCCTGGCAGTGGGGGGCAGAGAGGGGGAAGACCCAGGCTGGAGCCAGCCCACAGCTGGGCCTGGCAGGTGCCAAGCCCCTGGGCTCCTGTGTGGCCATCTGGGCCCCCGGAGTAACCTCTCCCATCTCCTTCCAGCCCTCACCAGCCCCCTGCAGCTGCTCGCAGCTCAGGCGAGTTCGTCCACGCCAGTGGTGGTGACCCGGGTGTGCGAGGTGGGGCCCGAGGAGCCGGCAGCAGCGGGCACGGCCACTGTCACGGCCACCAGCACCCCAGCCACCAGCACCAGCGCCTCTGCCTCTCCCACCGGGGAGCCCGAGGTCAAGAGGTCCCGGGTGGAGGAGCCCAGCGGAACTGCGGGCACCCAGGCAGGGGGCAGCACGGCCGCCAGCCCCCCGGGCCCCAGCACTGGCGAGTGACAGCACGGCCCGTGGAGTGGGACTCAGGCCAGCCCGACCCTACGAACGGCTGCACAGGGACCGAGCAGGAGGAGGAGAAGGCTCGGCCGCTGCCCACCCGCGGCCCAGGCCACACCGACAGCTGGCCGCTCGGCCCGGCACGCCAGCCCTGCCCGCCCCCTCCCGTCCTCCCGCGGTTCCGACAAACACATAAACGCGTTCACACCCTGACCGTGTGCCCTGGGATTCTTTGCTCTCCCTCTGCCGTGGCGCCACCTCGCTCTGGGCCCAGGCCAGCTGTGGAGAGGGCAGCCGCCTGGGCCCTGAGGACAGGATGGAACCGCAGTGTGCCGTGGACCAGGAGGAAGACGAGGGACGGCCCCTGCGGGGTGGGCTCGGAGCGGCGGGACTCACCCAGGCTGCCGGCGGCTCCCCAGAGCAGCGGAGAAGGCATTGTCCATCGGGGTGGGGAGAGGTCCGGCTTAGCTTGGACACGGAATACAGGCTCGATCTGAACCTTGAAGCGACGTCAAGGTCAGGTGTTCTGAGGTTTCCTTCCGTAGAGGGTCGGCAGGTGCAGCCACTCGGTCAACGCTGAGCGCAGGGCAGCCTCCCACGTGGCAAGGGAGGTCGGCGGCAGCTCAGGCTGCGCCTTTCCGGTTCCATGGCCGTCTCCGTGCAGCGGGAGGTGCTGCTTCAGCCTCGAGCGCCAGGGCCTGGGTCGGTCAGCGGGAAGAAAACCACTCCTCCGCCCGTGCCCAGTCGCCTGGGTCTGTCTGAAGACATGTGAGGACCGAAGATGGGAGCTGAGACATCCCCATGGACCACAGCTGGAAGGGACGCAGCCTCTGACCCCTGCTGGGCCCCCCCCCCCACGTCATCCCCGCAGCTCCCGCGGCCCTCTGGGGGAGCAGGTGCAGGGAGCTGGGCGGGCTGCCCACAGCCTGTCCCTGGCTCTTCCAGGACCCCTTTCTGTGCTGCGTGTAGGAATGCACTGTGCTGGCCCGTTCCGCCTGCTCCCGTCGGGGGGCGCTGTCCTGGCCTCCACTCTGAGGCTGATGGGAGGGGCTCCCGCCAGGTGCAGGAGTGGAGGTGCAGGGAGCGAGGCCTGGGGCTGCCCAGGGATGGGGTACAGAGCAGCTCCTGCCCCCAGGCTCGGCTCAGGCTGCCCGCCTCCCTGGGCAGGTGGGCTTCTCGGGGCTTAGAGTTCAGCCGGGTTGTGTCTGTCGCACGCCTGCTTGGGCAGGAGCTTGGCCTGGGACTAGCCAGGGGCCCAGTGTCCACCAGGGCCCCTCCAGGGAACACGGGCCGGGCATTCAGGGTTGGTGGGCAGTGGGAGAAGAGCTGTTTGTCCGGTGCAGCAGCGTCTGCGTGACCTCCTGGGCACGCGCCTCCCGGAGCCCTGGAAGGACTTGGCATGGACTGCGGGATTGTTTTGCATCCACGTAAACGGACCTTGCAGTTCCACTCTGCACTACAGCACGAGGACCGAACACTGCTGGCCGCCAGGGTGCCAGGCGATGGGGTCGGGTGCCCTGTGCCAGCCTGGGGCCTGGGAGTACACTTCCTGCTCAGGAGAGGACCCTACTTAGCAGGTACAGGAAGTGAGTCAGGGCGCGCCTCCCGCCACCCCTGGCATGTCCCAGGCCCCAGGCAGGACTTGGGTTTTCCTCCAGTACCAAAAGCTGCTACCCCTGGTGAGCCACCGGGCGCCTTGGGGTTGGGTGCCCGGAGATGCCGTCCTGCCCCCAGCTGCTCACTGCCCCAGCCCCCAGCCGTGGAGTCCCAGCTGCGGTAACGCACTGGTTCCTCTGCACGGGGTTTCAGACTCATTCCACAGACGGCAGGGAGAAAAGTCACTGCTCCTTTCCTGAGGTGGCCGAGGGGGCGCCTCCTGGGCATGCATGGCGGGATGGGTGTCCCCGGCCAGCCCGAGCAGGTGGCAGGAGTTCCCTCTGCCTCCCCACGTGCTGGGCGAGTGCTCAACGTGCTTCCACATACGGACCTTGCCGTGCCCAGCAGCAGCCTCGCTTCCAGCCACCTCCCTGGAGCCGTGGGACCTCCAGCTCATTCACCTGCTGCTGCCCGTTTGAGCAGTCTGGGTACCTCCCTCTCCTCGGGAGTCTTGTTCTGGAGTGGTTTGTGTGGGGGGACTGGCTCTGCCCGGGCCCAGTGACAGACTGACAGGTGAGCCTGCTGGCTCAGCGGCCGTGGTGCTGATTCCTCAGCCCACAGACAGATGCGGGCAGCCAAAAGGAAACTTGTTTCTTGGTTGGGTCTTATCCTGTCCCTGCCGCCGTGGGCAGCTAGCTTCACCGCGGAGAGCCCACGCGGGCTGCGGGGTGCAGGGTGGGAGGGAGCGTTGATTGTCTTGTAATAATGAATCCCAGGTGTGTGTGGGTGTGTGCACGCGCAAGGAAGTGGGTGAGCACGTCTTCTACAGTGACTGAAGTATTTTCGCAATATGTCCAGTACCCAGCGCTTTACAAGGTGGCACCGTGCTGCCAGGCGGGCACTTCGGTCTGCAGGCTGGCAGCCTGGGGCAGGGCCCACGTGGGCGCCCGGGAATGAGCCAGCCCGGGACCGAAGCCTTCTTTTATTCAGTGGGGTACAGTGTTTTGTTTTTATAAGGAGCCATACCTTTTTTTTTTAATGTTTGAGATCTGAATGATTTCTAATTGTATCAGATGTTAATGTTTTAAAGCTATTACAAAGTTGAAAATTTCTGCCTTTTTGAGTTTTATTTTTTTTCATTTGTTGTAACTGTTTTATCTATTGTTGGATGTGGATGGGGAAATTTTGTTTCTCCTCTTAGCATTTTTCTCTATAACCAGAAATAAAATGATCTATGAAGTCCCCCTCCCCCGAGGCTCCAGGTGGTCCCTTGGGAGTGGGTGGATGCAGGGACAGCGACCTGGTGACCCAGGGTAGGCGACCACTCCTGCCTGCGCCTCCAGCATGGCCTGCTGCCTGTGGGTGTGCTGGGCGGGCCCTGGGCATGGCACAGGTCTCCCACAGAGCCACCAGGCTACCTGCCTCGCCACGAGGCCCCAACCTGGCGTCTGGGTCCTGCAGCAGGCTCTGCGGGTGTGGCCAACGCTCAGATGTGTCTGCACCGGGAGCCTGGCTGCGGGCGCGGGCAGCGTGACATCAAGACTGCAAGGGATGGAAAATCAGGAGGGCGCGGGCATTGTGGCACAGCAAGCCAATTAAACTTCTCGTGCAAGTTTAAAGATTTACTTACTAATTGAAAGGCAAAGAGAAAGAAGGTCTTCCATCCACTGGTTCACTCCCCAAATGGCTGCCCGGCCACAGCTGGGTCCTGTCTGAAGTCGGGCCTGCCCCGGACGGGTGCAGGGCCCTGGGCCTTGGGCCATGCACTGTTGCCTTCCCCGGCCTTAAGCAGGAAGTTGGGTCAGATGCGGAGCAATCCGAGCACTGACCGGCGCCCGAATGGGACGCCTTTAACTGCTCCACCATAGCACCAACCTGGTATGGAACAAGTCGGACCGTGTCCTTGGTAATGCCGCTGGTGCCTGGAATTGCTGGCGGCCAGCTTGGCTCTGAGGGAACGTGAGCTTCCCGTGAACCCTGGGGATTCAGAGCTGCGAGAGGCCGCGCTTACATCCCCGCGGAGTTCCTGCACCTGCAGGGAGTCAGGGTTCCGACAGGTGGAGGCCCGGGCCGCCTGCCCGGTGGGCGGCCCTCCTCTGGCTGTCCCCGAGCGTGGGGTGGCGGGGCCTGGGTTCCCGGCAGACCCTCCTCCGGCGACCACGGGCACGACCGAGCTGAGCCGAAAACACTGCAACCCGGACGCCGCCGGTTCCCGCCGGGAGTTCTACAAACTCCCCTCCCGGCCGCATCCCAAGGCCCCGCCCCGCGTCCCTACGGCCCGCCCCGCCACAAGGTCCCGCCCCGTGCCCCTAAGGCCCCGCCCTACGCCGAAGCCCATAGGTCGGCGGTTCGGCCCGCCCCGGGCCTTGCCCTGTGTCCCTAAGCCCACGCCCCCAAGACATTAAGGCCCCGCCCACGGCCCCGCCCTGCGCCGAAGTCCATTGGCCGGCGGTTCGGCCCGCCCCCAAGTCCCCGCCCCCACGCCCCTAAGGCCCCGCCCTGCGCCTAAGCCCATTGGCCGGCGGCTCGGCCCGCCTTCCCCACGTGATGGCGCCGGGGTAGCGGCCCGGAAGTCGCCATTGGGCCCCGGGAAGGCCGCTCACGTGACACAGCCCGGAAGCGGCCGCGCGCCCGGCGGCGGGATGCTCTCGGCGGCCGCGGAGGGTCTGCTGCAGCAGGCCAGGTGCGGGGATCGCGGCCGTGCTGGGGAGGGCGGCCGTGCTGGGCAGGGCGGCTGCCGCACACCCCGGTCACCAGCCAGCCGTGGGGGAAGCGGAGACGGGAGGCCAGGCGCGTGGGGAGGGCGCCGAGGTGGGCGCGTCCGGCCCAGCTGCGGCCAGCCTGCCGGGGCAGCGCCAGCCTGCCATGCCCCAGCCTGCCGGGGCGGCACGGTCCCCACCGGGGCATCACTGCTGCTTTGTTCCTGTCCCAGAGACCTTGTTCAGCCCGGGGGCTGAGCCCGGGCAGAAGGCGGAGAGGTGGCCCGAGGGCTGGAGGGCAGCGAGGGACCTTCCCAAGGGGCTGGACAGCTTTCCCGAGTCTGGGAGAGGGTCCGCAGAGTGGGAGCGTACCCCCAGAGGCCGCGGTAGGCTGGCCTCTTCCTCCTGCTGGGGGATTGGGTGCAGCTGCGGCCGGCTTCAGTGAAGGAGAAGTGAAGGCCAGGGGAGTTTCCTGGACTGTGCCCAGTGGCCTTTGAAGAAGTGGCAGGAGGCGCCCCCACCCTGGACCCTCTTCAGGCCGTGGGTCTCTGGGTCCGGAAGTCTGGCTCGCGGTTGCTGCGCTCCTGCGCCCCTTGCGTCCAGCAGAAGTGGGGCCTGGGGAGCTGCCCAGTGTGGGTGCACTTGGGCTTTGGACGTGCCTGTGGCAAGTGCGGGGCAGTGAACTTGGGTTATGGTGCGCACTGGCCATGGGCTCACAGCACGGCCATCCCGGCACCTGCTCAGCCTAAAGCTGCCCCAACACCCGTTTTAGTAGTCCCCTTCCTGCTTGCAAATGAGACACTCTACACCAGTAAGGGTAGTTGACGTGCGTTCTCGGGGTAAGAAAGCCAGGGTGTGTGAAGTGGGGCTGGGTCACCGGGCAGGGGAAGCCTAATTGGAGGCTTGCCGCGTGGTGTCAGCGCCTCCTCTCTGACCAGGGAGCTCGAGGACGAGGAGCTGGGCCGGTTCTGCTCCCGGGTCACCCAGCTGCTGCAGGCAGAGGAGCCGGGGCCCGAGGCCACCGACGCACTGCAGAGGCTCTTTCTCATCATCTCGGCCACCAAGTATGACCGGAGGTGAGTGTGACGGCCCAGGCCGCGCCGGGGCTGGACTCTGTGTTTGTGACCGCAGAAGTGACACGGCAGCCGGGATCTTCCCTACAGGCTGGACCGGTCGTGCGTGGACCTGCTGCAGGCCGCAGTGTGCTCGCCCACGGGTCCCGAGCAGATCCAGGTCCTGTGCGCCGCCATCCTGCGGGAGATGTCGCCCTGCGTGAGCCTCAGCCTGTCCTGTGAGCGCGCCCAGAGTCCCCGGCAACTGAGCCTCGTGGCTTCTGTCCTCCTGGCGCAGGTAACGTGCTGGGCCTGCGTGGGTGGCTGTCCTGCCCCGGTGCTGCTGGCCGTGCCCGCCTGGCCTCGCTGTTGCACACTGCAATGGCGAGCCCTGCCAGCCCACCCACTGCACCTGGGTCCCGGGCCGCTTGCACGGTGCAGGGACCATAATTGAGCAGCAGCCCTCTCGGTGGGCTTCATGCGGACGTCCGAGTGGTCAGGGTGGGCTTCGTGCCCTGAGGCGCCCGTGGTGCAGTGTGCATCCAGCGGGGGCATCACGCTGCTCTATCCTTGCGATGGTGCTGCTCAGAACAGGACGGCCTTGCCCTGGCGACTGACGGGGAGGCCCTGGGACGCACGTGTCCAGGCCTTGCCCTGACGCCATGGGCACCTCCCGTTACTACGCTGGGGTGAGAGTCCAGCTGGGCACCCTTCCAGGGCGTCAGCAGTGACAGCCACCACGTGAGACCCCAGCTGGAGCTGAGAGGCTTTTTTTTTTAAGATTTTTTAAATTGGAAAATCAGATATACAGAGAGGAGGAAACGGAAAGATCTTCCGTCCGTTGATTCACTCCCCAAGTAGCCACAACAGCCAGAGCTGAGCCAATCCAAAGCCAGGAGCCAGGAACTTCCTCTGGGTCTCCCACACGGGTGCAGGGTCCCAAGGCTTTGGGCCGTCCCCGACTGCTTTCCTAGGCCACAGGCAGGGAGCTGGATGGGAAGCGGGGCTGCTGGGATTAGAACTGGCGCCCATATGGGATCCCGGCAAGTGCAAGGTGAGGACTTTAGCCACTAGACTGCCACGTCCGACCCTTGGAAGCCGTAAGGAGTGAGCCAGCAGGGGGAGTACTTGCTCTGACTACTGATATTTGCAAATGAAAATATTAGTTTATTTTAGGGAATTCTGTTGCTGTTTGTCATAATATACATTTCCCCTGAACTTAAAATAACTTATTTTTATTGGAAAGACAGATTTACAGAGAGGAGAGGTGAAGCTCCTCCATCGACTGGCTCACTTCCCCACATGGCCGTGACAGTCAGAGCTGGGCCGCCCAGTCAGGAGCTGCTTCTAAGGCTCCCTGTGTGTATAGGGCCCAAGCACTGGGGCCATTTGCTGCTGCTTTCCCTGCTGGGTGAGCAGCTGGTTTGGAAGTAGACAGCCAGGACTTGAACTGACACCCATATGGGATGCCTGAATGAGCAGAGGCTTAGCGTGCTACGCCACAGCTCCAATCCTGAGTTTGATTTTGAATGACAGGAGACAGGATCTCATCCACTCAGCCGTTCTCCTCTTCAAATGACTGCAGTGGTGGGAGCGGGGACCCCGGTCCCGGCCCCCGTGGGGTGGCAGGGGCCCCAGTACTTGAGTCATCCCCTGCCACCCCCAGGCCACTGCTCTGATGTGAGTACCGTACACGTGTGTCGCCCTGTGGGGCTGGGCAGGCTATGCCAGCTCCGTGCTCAGCTGTGGTGCGTGCAGCCCAGGCTTGATGGGGGCCCAAGGCTTAGGACCCTGGGACCTAGGGGCTCGGGAAGGGCTTGCTGCAGCCCTGCCTCCCCCCCGTGCTTGCAGGGGGACAGGGGCAGAATCAGCAGTGTGGGCCGGCACATCTGCAGAGTCCTTGAGAGCCGGCAACCCGAGGGGCCCGGCCTGCGGCACCTCCTGCCAGTCCTAGCCAGGGCCATCAGCCTTACCCCGGGCTCTCTCCAGGAAGGTAGGTGCCCACCAAACCAGGGCCTGTGAGGCTGGCCTCCCCTCCCCTGGGGCCTGTGGGGCTGGCCTCCCTGTCCCAGCCTCCCTCTGGTCTCCCCGCCGCAGAGCACACCAGCCTGCTCAGCAAGAGGCTGCTCGAGTGGCTGCGCCACGCCAGCGTCCACCAAGGGCTGCCCCGCGCCGGGGGTTTCTTCTCTGCGCCCCGGGCTCGGCAGGTGAGCCTGGGAGGCCTCCTGCACCCTGCTCCCCTGCACTGCCCTCACTTAGGCTCCCGGAGGCGGGGGGTGGGGTGGGGGGTGGTCCCCAAGCTCACAGCCCACATTCCCTCCTCCCACAGCCGGGCCCCATCACCGAAGTGGACGGGGCAGTGGCTGCAGACTTCTTCACGGTGCTGTCCACAGGCCAGCACTACACGGAGGACCAGTGGCTGAACATGCAGGCCTTCTCCATGCTGCGGGCCTGGCTGCTACATGGCGGCCCCGGCCGGGGCGGCGCCGACACAGGTGTGCGGCAGGGGAGGGCGGAGCAGCCCGTGGCTGTGGCCAGCAATGCCCACCGCACGCATACACCGCACGGTGTGCCCAGCCACTAGGGCCCCCAGGCCCCTTCAGTCAGCAGGTGCATGCACTGGGGCTGGTCTAGGGCCGACGCGCTCTCCCTGCTGTCTGCCCGCCTCCCACAGATGACAAGTCGGGGCTGGAGGGCTCCACCCTGTCTGTGCTGTCGGCGGCTTCCTCGGCCAGCCACCTGCTGCCCCCCCGGGAGCGGCTGAGGGCAGTGGCCTTCGAGTACTGCCAGCGCCTCATCGAGCAGAGCAACCGGCGTGAGTCCGTGGCCTCCCGTGGGCTGGACTCGCGCCTACAGCAAGGGGTGGGCCGGGGCCCTGGGCCCGTCTGAGTGACCCTGTCCCTCCCAGGAGCCCTGAGGAAGGCGGACGCAGAGCTGCAGAGAGCCGTGAGTGGCCGGCAGGGAGGGTGTGGGGCTGGGCGTCGACGGCCAGGGCTGGCTGACCGCATGCTGTCCCGCAGTGCCTGGTGGAGGCGGTGCTGGTGCTGGACCTGCTGTGCCGCCAGGACCCCTCCTTCCTGTACCGCACGCTGGCCTGCCTGAAGACGCTGCCCGTGCGCCTGAGCGCAGACCCGACCTGCGTGCGGGCACTGCTGCCCCTGGCCCAGTTCTTCCTGAACCACGGTGAGCCTGTGGGTGCCAGAGGATGGCAACTGGCCTCACTGCCCCCGGGCTGACGTGGGTGCTCCACAGGGGAGGCGGCCGCAGTGGACGCCGAGGCTGCCTACCAGTACCTGTTCACGCGTGTCCCTGCGGAGCTCTTCCACAGCCCTGTACTGGCCCTGGAGCTTGTCCAGTTGTGCCGGGACAACCTACACCTGCTGGCCGGCCCACTGGGCATCCTCCCGCGGGGCTTCCCCAACCTCCTCAAGGCAGGTTTGCTGGTCCCGTCCTGAGACGCAGCTTGTGGGGTGGGGGTATCCCAGGGCGGCCACGTGCCATGCCACCCTCGTCCAGCCAGACCGCGGCCCTGTTGTGTGCGCCCCTTGGCATGTGCCCTTTGAAGCCAGGCTGGACGCATGGTCCTTGCCCAGAGTCGGGCAGAAAGTGGTGCTTTCTGGCTGCTTGACACACCGGTGGCTGCCGAAGCAGAATCGGCCTCGGCCAGTGGCGCATGTGGGGGGCAGTGGGGAGGGACAAGGCAGACATCACCCCGGGGCTGGCTGGCCTGCGAGCCTGAGCCGCTGTGCTTGTCCCTGCAGTTCCTGGCCTGGAACAGCCCGGCCCTCACCATGGACTTCGTGGCGCTGATCCCAGCGCTGGTGGATGCTGGCTCGGCTGTGGAGCTGCTGCACGCACTGCTGGACCTGCCATGCCTCGCCGCAGCTCTGGACCTGCAGCTCCGGTGGGCCCCTTGCCTCTGCTGCCCTGGAGTCCCTCCGGGCCGGCAGGGCCTGTCAGCGTGGACAGGCCTTGACCCTCGGGTCTGTGCACAGGTCGCTGCCAGCCCCTCCTGAGAGGCCGCCGTGGGACACTTCCTTCCGGAACCCCAGCTGCCTGGAGGCCTTCCGGGACCCACAGCTGCAGCCTCTCTTCCAGTACCTGCTGCGTGCCGAGGCCAGGGGCTCCGTGGAGAGGTAGGGACGTAGCCAGCTGGGCTAGCGCGTGGGTAGCAAGGGGCCACGGGCAGGGCCTCCTCACCAGCATGCTGGGCTGTGGGGGTGGACGGAGGGAGTGGGCGGATTTGTCAACTCCTGTGGCACCCATGTGGGCAGTGGCTGGACATTTAGTGGCTATATTGCCCTTCCCAGGCTGAGCCCGCTGTACCAGCCATTGCAGCCCATGGCCAGCTGCGCCCGGGTGGTCCAGTGTGCCGAGGCTGTGCCCATACTGCTTGAAGCCTTCTTCTCGGCTGTGACCCAGGTGAGCCGGTGGCAGCGTCAGGAGCACTACAGGGGCCTGCCGTGCCGAGCCTGAGCCTGTCTCCCCCGTACCCCAGTTCGCTGACGGGGCCCTGGCCAACCAGCTGGCGCTGCTCCTGCTGGACCGGAGCGACTCGCTGTTCCAGGTGCCAGGGTTTGAGACCCGCGTGCACAGGTGGGTTCTCTGCCTGCTCTCTGGGGGTGAGCGTCATTGGGGGATTGCCCCGCTTCCTCGAGGGTCTCACGAGGGCGTCCTGGCCTCACGGTAGGGTACTGAGTGTCCAGTTCCTGGCGCTGTGCCGGCTGAAACCCTCTCTGGTGGTGGAGCTGGCCCGGGAACTCCTGGACTTTGTGGGCAGCGTGAGCAGCGTGAGCAGCAAAGCCAGCCTCTTTACCTGCGTGGTAAGGGCCCCCTGCCCCCTGCCCGGGGCTGCCTGGGGCTGCCCAGATGCCACTGGCCTGGGCTCAGCCGCCTCACTGGCCCTAGGTATGGGCCGTCGGCGAGTACCTGTCGGTGGCCTGTGACCAGCGCTGCACCGTGGAACAGATCAACAGGTTCTTTGAGGCCCTGGAGGCACTGCTATTCGAGGTCACACAGTCGCGGCCCTCGGCCAGCGATCCCACGTGCCCGCCCCAGGTCATCACGTCACTCATGACCACGCTCACCAAGCTGGCCTCCCGCAGCCAGGACCTGATCCCCAGGTACCTCGGGAGGGGGAGAGGAGACAGAGCGGGGCGGCGCACACAGGGGCTGACGGGCTGCTGTGCTTCCCAGGGTGTCTCTGTTCCTGTCCAAGCTGAGGAGCTGGGCCCCTGGCCCCGCACACGGGAGGGAAGGGGACGCGGTACGCACGCGGGCCACAGAGCTGCTGAACCTGCTGAGGATGCCCAGCGTGGCCCAGTTCGTGCTCACGCCCAGCGCAGAGGTGTGCCAGCCACGCTATCACCGTGACACCCACACGGCCCTGCCGCTGGCCCTGCGCACTGCCGGCCGGCTGGTGGAAAAGCAGGCCAGCCTCCTGCCCAGCTGAGGGGTCCCCGCCCACCAGGACTGTCCTGCTGGCCCCACTGCGCCCACGGCAAGGGTGGGAAACACGGTTTATTTCCCTAACTTTTGCAATAAAGTCTTTACATCATCTGTGCAGCAGTGTCGCCCCCCGCGCTGTCTGCACAGAAACACGGTGCACAGGCGTGCTGTCCGCGGGGGCGCTGGCCGAGCGCCGAGTGCCGTCCATCCCCGCCTAGGGAGGGGGTGTGCGGAAGCGGATTTTCCTGGCGGTCTCTGCATCGGACTTGGCAACCAGAAACCTCATCTTCTTTCCGCCACGGCGGATCAAGTCCACAGCTCTGAAATCGGTACAGGCCGAGAGGGGCCGGGGTGAGGGCGGGCACCGGCTGGCGCGGGTGGGGGCGTACCCGAGGTAGCTGACGCAGGTGGGGGATGAGTGGGGGATGGGGGCCGTACCCGAGGTAGCTGACGCGGGTGGGGGATGAGTGGGGGATGAGTGGGGGATGGGGGATGGATGGGGGATGGGGGCGTACCCGAGGTAGCTGACGCAGGTGGGGGATGAGTGGGGGATCGGGGATGGGTGGGGGATGGGGGCGTACCTGAGGTAGCTGACGCCCAGCAGGCTGCTGCCGTCCACCTCGAGGATGCGGTCCCCCAGCGACAGGCGCCCGTCGGCCGCCGCGGCGCTGCCAGGGAGCAGCGTCTGGATGTAGAGCCCTGGGGCAGCCAGGGGCGTGTGCTGGGCAGAAGGGGAGGGGTCCTGAAGCAGCGGGCACGGAGGCCAGCGGGCCCGGGCAGCAAGGGGGACCCCCTCCCTCGCACCCAGCCTGCCCACTCACCAGGCCGTCGATCAGGCCCATGCCCAGCCCCAAGGGGCCTCGCTCCAGCTCAACCGTGAAGAAGTCGTCTGCGCTAGAACTGCCACTGGAGGCAGCAGGGACCTCGTCCCCAGGGACCACGGAGTCTCCTGTGGGACAGAGCTGCCGCTGGAGGCCCTGCCCCTCTGCCCCCAAGTCCTCCCACTGGACAGGAAGTGCTCCCGGGGCTCCTCCTGTGTGGCCTCACCTGTCCCCTTGCTCCTACAGCTGCATCCCGCCCTTCTCTGGCGGCCATGGGCACAGCGGCAGGGGCCCCGGCCCTCGGACACAGCTCCTGCACCTCCCGCGCCCGAGCCGCAGCTGAGCCATACCGGCCCAGGGCAGCGCTGGCCTCACCTTCTGGAGCTGTTCCCCGGGGGCTGCCCGGTCCGTTCCTCTGTCCTGGCAGTGCTTGGCCACAGGGAAGGCCGGGCTCTGGCCACTCGGAGCCTCTGGGGTCCAGACCCAGCGGGGTGGTGGGAGGCGTGAGCAGGCACGAGGAGTCCACCTGCAGGGTCCCGGTCTGGGAACCCCCACGGCCTGGACGGCTAGGCTGCCTGCTCAGGGCGCCCTGGGCCTTGGCAGCCCCCGCAGAGAGGGCGCTCGTGGGGACAGCTTCCTGGGCTCCCTGGCCCTCAGGAATGGCATGGGACACTCCCTGAGGAGGGAGAGGGGGGGACAGGCTGCCGGGACCAGCAGAGGACACCGCCAAGGCATCCATCGGGCCAGCGGTGCTCTGAGCTGCACCGTCCATCCCACCCCACCCATGAGGACCGAGGGCAGCCACCTGGTACCTCGGGGTGCACTGGCCGCGCAGCCCCACTGCTGGGGCTGGCCTGGCTGCGCAGGTTCCACAGGAAGTGGCGGATGTAGAGCAGGTGCTGGTAGATGCCATCGTCCACACACTCGGCCTCCAGGTCCACCTGGAAGCCCTCGCTGGGCAGCACAATGGGCGGGGGGTGCTCGTAGGACTCCAGGACGTCCTCTGGGGGGGAGGGCAGACAGCTGTGGCTCGTGCCCACCAGCAACACAGCAGGTGGCATCCCAGTCACAGGTGCCCCAGCAGCTTCCCTTGCCCAGGACGGGACCTTCCTAGGTGCCCAGGCCCCTGGGGCCGCTCTGCCCGCACTGCCTGCCCATGGCGTGTGGATTCACATCTCCACCAGCTGGCATGTGCACACGTGTCCACAGACCCCATGAGCAGCTATCCATGCCCACATGGCACACGCCTGGGCTGCACAGCCACTGCTCGTTCCCTGGTCGACCACCAGAGGCCCCACCTCAAGACTGCCCCACAGACATCAGAGCCTGCATTGGGAACTTGGGTGTACACAGGGAGCCTGCCCTGTCCTCCTCCAAGGTCACCAGTCCCTGAGGGAGACAAGGTGAGCCTGGCAGGAAGGTGCAGGAAGGGGGCCCCTCACTCCCCTCAGGGAGGCCAAGGGAAGCAGGTGCTGGCCCGGCCCCAAGCCTGCAGATGGAGGCGTCTCCCTGTTCCTCACCTGGCTGGAAGGCTTCGGGGCTGTCCTGGGCACCAGGTTCCCAGGCACTCAGGGGGCCCATGGCGGAGGCCAGCTGGTACTGTGTCAGCAGCCGGTGCAGCTGTGCCGGGCTCAGGGCGGGGAAGGCAGCCCGCAGGGTGGTCCAGTTCATCTGGCAGATAGGAAGAGCTTGAGATCAAAGGCCTGCTGGTGCACAAGGGGGCCCAAGCGGAGCCCTGCGTGCAGTGAGATCCAGGCAGAGCTCCTGGCCCTGGGCCCCACAGCACCCCACCACACCACCGTCATCTGGGGTGGCCTCGGCATCCCACAGAGACCCGCTTCCACCTGAGGTGCTGCTGGGGAGGGTGGCCTTCCTGTGTGCGGTCACCAGGGACAGTGGCCTGTGAAATCCACAGTGAAGCACTCTGCTGGGTAAGGGTCACACCAGAGCGTGCCCCGTGCTGGCCTCCTCAACACAGGCTGTTCCCATGTCAACCACCTGGTGGCGCTGCCGGGTCCCCTCCAGCTGAGGGAGACGGGGTTCAGGGCAGCTGGAGCCCCCTTCTCGTTCTGCAGGCACTTGGGCCTTGATGGCGTTACTTTAGGACGAGTCACCAGCAAGTCCCTTCGGTCTCTGCGGGCAGGTTTTAGATAACGCGCAGCCCGTGTGAGCTTGGATTTGGGGAGTCCCTCCTGTGTTAATTCCCGTGTCAGCGCTGACCCCTGCTGCTCCGGCGCCACCTTGGCTTCCGGCCTGTCGACTTTCCTGCCTCGGACTCGCAGCCTCATGGAGCCAAGTTCACTGCTCTCTAATTCAGGTTGAGCACGCCTCACCTGAATCCGAAATCCAGAAATTCCCAAAACCCAAAACTTGGCGAGGGCCAACGTGAAGCAAGTGGAAAAAGCTCCGCCCTCGCTAGGTGGATGGGTCACGGTCGGCACACACGTACATCAAAATAAGACGACCCTCAGCTCCTTGCACGAGGATATACACAGATGTGTTGAAACCCGGGCCCCATCTCCAAGGCCCTGCCCCGTGTAGGGACTGCTGCAGCCGTGTGCATCAGCAGGCCCGGCATGGGACCCAGCAGGGCATGAACCCGGCAGCGGGCACCGCACAGACCAAGAGGTCAGTCAGCTGGCAGGACCAAGAGACAGCTGGCCGCTGCTTCAACAGCAAAACTCCATCCAGTATATCACAGCTGGCCGGATAAGCCAGCCCGAGTGCCCTGTCGGTGCAGGCGCTGTGCTGGCCCGCACCCCACAGATGCAGGAGTCGCCATCTCATGGCCCTGAAGCCCTGCACGGCCCTGTCCTGCACCCGGGCGTGGGCCCCTCCCGCTGCTGCTTGCTTCCGGCACCAGGAGCTGAGCGGAGGCCCCTCGGCCGCAGCGCTTGGTGGCGAGGCCATGCCACACTCCTACAGGGCATTCTGTCTGCAAGTAAACTCTCCATCCTCCTTCCCGAGGCTCCAGATTGCTGGCCACTGTCCAGGGGAGCCAGTGGGGCCTCTCAGAGCCCCCACAGAGCCTGCACCCCACAGCAGCAGCAGGCAGAGGTTCTGGCCTCCAGGCCCTCAGCTGCCTGAGAACAGAGCTGGCACAGTCCCTGCCACGGAGACATTCCCTAGGGACACGCTGGTCGCAAGCCCAGGCGCCAGTGTGCTCCAGTGGCCGTCGGGCTCCCGTGCTCAGCCCCGGGGGCTGTGGCTCCTGCCCTCTGCCCCGAGGGGTCGGGCACTGCCCACTGCTCCATCTCCACAGCCTCGGCACACTTCCCCTTCCCCACCAGGCCTCAGTAAAGCACAGTTGTGAATGTATTGGCCGTGTTTGCAGCACAACCAAGGGACACCCAGAAGCCCACCAGGCCTCAGTTCTCTGCCAGCAGGGAAAGCTGTTTGGACCCTCAGGTAGTGAGTGGACTCCTCGCTTGATGCGACAGAGAAGGCCCTGGGGTGCTTGGGAGTCTCCTAGCCAGACGCTGTGCCTGCTCCACTGAGCATCGCCTGCCAAGTCACGCTGGCCGTCCCAGACAGCATTGAGGCCGCCAGTGCCACAGCAGCAGCCAAGCACGGCCAGGTTTCCCAGGCCACCAGCTCCCCTTCCGAGAACCACCCACAGCGACTGCCAGGCCAAGGTGGAGCACAGAGGGTGGAGGGCAGGTGAACCCCGTGGAGCCGGGGGGATGCGTGGTCACTCTGAGGGCCATGGCTGCACTGGCGTCAGGGTTTGGCTCTGCTGGCCACTGGCTCACAGCGCTGCCCTCCTTCCACTCGTGTCTGAGCCACTCTCTGGACAGCCCAGGCCACTTCCCTTCCCCTCTCAGACTTGGTCATGGGGCCACAGGCTTGAACTTGGCGAGATATTAACAGAAATTTGAGTTTTCTGCATCCTGGCCAGATATGTCAGCTGTGACTCCCAACACACTTGCCTCAACTCCCACAACCACACGCCCCCCTACCTGGATGAGCTGGGCGCTGGGCGTGGCCAGCAGGTGGAGGGTACAGGACAGCTTCTGGAAGAAGCGCTCCCCCGCTGCCCCGAGGCCAGCGCTCCTCGTCCACTCGAGGAGCTGCTGCAGGCGTGCGCAGGCCTGGACTCCGCGGGGCCAATGGAAGCAGCTCAGAGCTGGGCCTGGAGAGGGAGGACGGGTGACTCCAGGCCTCCCAGCACCCTCGGGCCCTAGAGCCCGTCCTCCCACTTGGCTCAAGTGCAGGTCCAGCATGCATGTCCATGCAGGTGGTGGGCCCAGGGCAGGGAGGGGAGGGTGTGATGGTCCCAGTAGCACCGACTTCTGACAGCAGGCCCCAGCCAAGACCTCCGACTTCCACCCACAGCCCCCTGCCTACAGCCATGACCTGTCCCCGCTCTGGTCCTCACTGCCCACAGCAGACTCCCTGGCTGGAAGCAGCCAGCATCGCTGCAGGTGGCCAGGCAGGGTGGAGGCTGGCAACATCTGGGGGCACCTCGAGCCCTCCCCTGCCCGATGAGAGGGCATGGCCCTGTGCCATCGGCTGGGGCGGCAGCTGCTGCGGGGCCAGGGGCTGGGCACAGCGCTCACCCCGCTCCAGGATCTGGTTGAGCAGCAGTGCCCCCGAGAAGAAGAAGAGGTAGGCGAGCATCTGGGAGGCGACCTCAGGGTGCACCTGCAGCTGCCGCAGGAGGTCCAGGGCGGCCTGGTACACGGCCACAACGCGGCGCAGCTCCTCGGGCAGCACCGGGGCTGGGCCGTGGCTGTCTCGGGGCTCCGTCTGGAATGGGGGACACTCCAAGAGGGCCGGCAGGCAGACGTACAGGCACTGGGGACAGGGGACAGGAGTAGTAGCCACTGCTAGGGCAACCTGTGGCCATAACCCAACAAGCCCCCACCAGGCACACTGCCTGCCCAGCAGGGACTGCTGAGAACAGAGCAGGTGCAGGGGCTCAGCCAGGGCCCACCTCGGGCCGTCACAAGCTCCCCACTGGCTCAGGGCCACACGGCCCTGCAGGAACATCTGGTGCATCACCCATCACACCCGCCCGGGCATCAGGTGTCAGGCCCCTCGGTACCTTGGAGAGGTAGTACACACACTGCTGGAAGGAGTACAGCACCACTTCCTCCAGTACCGCCATGGCCTCCTCGCTGGCCGTCAGCGTGCAGGAGAACAGCGACTCCTTCGAACCTGCGGGAAACACCACGGCCCTGACCTGCCAGCCGCACCGCCCGGCCTCTGCCCGCATCCGCCTGGGCTGGGATAAATCCATGCCTGCCCACCGCCTGGCCAGAGCAAGAAGGCTGGGCGGGCAGCAGAGTGCAGGTGACCCATCCGGGGGCTGGCTGTGGGTCAGAGGCCCTGAGGCTGGCGTAGTGCGGCTAGGACGGCGCCTACTCCACACACCCAGACACATTTTCACCTCTTGCTGTTGTTTGTGCGTCTCCTGCAGCGGCCACAGCCAATGGCTCCCTCCCGACAGACCCTCAGGCCAGGAGAGCAGCAGTCTCTCTCAACCCCTGGGTTTCCTTGCTCCCTGGCTTGGACGCAGTCGAGGCCATGGGGACCGCCAGCTCCAAAACCCATTACCAGCCTCCTTCTAGAAGGCTCCAAGTCACCATACAGAGGCCCACAGCTGAGGAGGGCAGACCATACACACAGCCACAGGGCTGGGAGATGGGGCTGCAGCCCCACCAACTGCAAGCACCCCTTGGCAAAACTACCATCCTCGCTGGGCCTGGAGGTAGCGGCCAGGGAAGTCGACCAGCTGTTCCCAGGAGGCGGTCCCTGAGCAAGCCCTGACCACAGGCTCAACTGGAGGGTCCGCAACAACAGCAGCCCAGAGGGCCTGACGGTGGGTTTGTCCCCCAGGCCAAGTGTTGCAGCCCGTCACCCTAACACACAGAGCACATGAAGGACAGATGCTGTGAACCCCAGCCCCGTGGTCAGCAGCAGCTCCGGCCACCTCCTGGTCGTAGGCCAGGGTCCTGGAGTAGACAACAGACTGGGTGCCAGGGCCCCTGCAGGACGGGCTTCCAGGAGGAGGCAGCGCTGCTCCAGGGGCCAGGCAGATGCAGACCCTGGGCCCAGGGAGGCGGCCCCCTCCTTGCATCCAGCTGACTGCCTCCCATGTCCACCGCAGGGACAGGGCCACAAGCTCCAGGCCAAGTGCTCCCAGAGACACAGAAGGCTCCCCGCTCCAGTACCAGGCCTCCTCAGGCCAGGCCCCACGGTCAGCGAGAGGTGGCTCAGGCCCCTCACTGGGAAGCAAAGGGGTGGGAGACACAAACTGCAGCTGATGGTGCTGTGTGGGCACAGCTCCCCAGGCCCCACCTCCCCAGGCCCCTCACAGACGCCCCCACACACACCTGGCCCACGCTCAGTCCGGACCCGCGTGGCCACTGTGTCTGTGCCACTGGCCTCCACGTGGGCCCAGGAAAGCCGCCCAAGGCTCTGGCTGCTGCAGCAGAAGCCAGCCCTCACCCAATGCCAGCCCTGCCTTCCTGGACTTTCTGATGAAGCCACAGCTACCCTGGGGCACCTCATAGACCCTGGCCCCCACCCTCTCCCCCCGCCTATGCAGGGACTTCAGAGACCACCAAGCACATCCCCTGGGGTCCCTGCCACAGCTGAACAGGGCTGAACAGCCCTAGTGCCCAGTGCATGAGGGCGAGAGTGGGCAGCCTGAGCATGCCCAGCAGACCTGAGCTGTGGGGCAGACGGGCAGGCCACCCACAGCCCTGGCCTGAGTCAGGGCAGGACAGTGCCATGAGCCCCTGGCTCCACTCTTGACCCCCGCACTGTCTCCAGGTCCTGCCCAAGCACCCCGATGTCCTGAAGCCCCTGGTCTGGTGAGAACCCCCTCACGTGCTGCTGTCTGGGGGCTTCCTGCCAGAGCTCCTGCGCAACTCCTGCACTCTGCAACTCTGCGACGGGCAAGGCTCTCTGTGCAGCTCAGTGCTGTGAGGCCAGCACAGGAGGGGCTGGGCCGGCCCTCCCACCCCTGCCCCTGCTCAGGAGGGGCTGGGCCCACACTCCCACCCCTGCCCCTGCTCAGGAGGGGCTGGGCTGGCCCTCCCACCCCTGCTCCTCCCCCTGAGTGGGACTGCCTTAGCGACTGTCCCCAGAGGCAGCAGAGCACCCATCCAGCAGCTCAGACCGCATGGACACCCCTGCATGACTGGCCCCAGTAGGCCTAGATGCTGAGCAAGCCCCCATAGAGCCCATCCCCGCTCCCGTGGCCCCTGTGGCCCGGGGCCTCCGAGCTGCCGGCACACTTGCCCTGTCTGGGATGGGGGCGCCAGCCCTACCTGTGACATCCAGCTCGTCCTCCATGCTCTGCATGTAGAGTGGACAGTTCTGCTGGGTAAAGTACAGGAGCTCAATGGAGTTGGACATCCAGAAGAGAATGTGCTGCAGGTCTGGAGCCAGGTCAGCCATGGGGAAGCTGGCCCAGGACACGGGTTCCTGGCTACCGAGAGAAAGACTAAGTTACACTGGGGCCCATGAGCCCTGTGGCCTCCACCTGCTGCTGTGCCTGCTTGCACCAGCCATCCATTGTCATGGCAACAAAATGCATCAGTGGGAGCCAGCCGCGCGCCCACATGCGTGCCAGGTCGTGTTCCAGCTGCTCCACTTCCAACCCAGCTCCCTGCTGATGGCCTGGGAAAGCAGAGGACGGCCAAGATGTTTCAATCCCTGACACCCACACTGCAGTCCTGGAGGAAGCCCCCGGCCCCTGGCTTCGGAGGGGCCCAGCCCCGGCCACCAAAGCCACCCGAATGAACTGTGCATGGAAGATCTCTTTGCCTCTCTCTCTCTTTTTCCCTCTAACTTCAACTCTCAAAAATAGATAATCCTCAAAGAACAAAAGCGCTCTCCACTTGGCTGAGCTGGCAGCATGAGGCTGGGAGGCCAGGAGGCAGATGTACCTGACCTGACAACCACGGCACCCTACACACAGCAGGAAGGGCCCGACAGCGAGCTGTTCCCACGGCTTTCCCCCCAAATCAGAGAACATGCAGATGCGTGTGTGTGTCAGGAGTTGTCACAGGAGTTACACAGGTGACCACGGCTCCCCAGCCAAGCACATGGGCAAGGCTGGCCAACCCCAAGAGGTGCCAAGAGTCCGTGGGGAGCAGCAGAGTGCCTTCCCCAGGCTCTGTGTGGAGCCTGCCCTCAGCTACCCGGCATCGGGGCAGGGTCGGCCGAGGCATCCTTCCTGCCTCCCTTCCTGACAGCACGGCTGTCAGGGCCCCTGCTCCCCTGAACAGCAGCCTCTAGCAACAGGCTGGCTCCCACAAACTCAGAGCTACACACCCCGGCCCCAGCCCCAGCCTGCCTCACCCCCCCAGGGGCACAGGGTGTCTGTTCTGCCCAGGCTGAGGGACAGATGGAGACGGCGAGTGCCCCAGCTGCTGCGTCCTCTCAGGTCTGTATGCCTTCTCGCAGGACACCTCCATCCCTGTGCCCAGCTCAGCACCAGGCCCAGGAGCCCGGGGCCGAGCGCTCAGGACCAGGCACACGACAAGTCCACCAGCGCCCATGACCACGCCCATCCACGGATCACTCCCGAGACCAGCCGAGACCAGATTGTTGCCAGCCGCATCTGTATGTACTGGCCACATGCCGTACCCAAAATGGCGCCGGCCGGAGAAGCCACACCTTCGTGCGTGGTGGAGAGTCACGTAGCCTTCGCGGTACTGCGCAGACGCCTAGCGCATGTGCAGTGAGCTGCGGCGTGGCCGGCACGTGAACACTGGGGACTGACGAATCCGGTCGCCCAGGACCCTGCGTGATCATGACGCCGACCTATCATCGGCGGAGGCGGGGCCAGTCAGCACATAAGAGCAGACAGCCTGCCGGGGTCGGGCCCCCTTCCTCTTCCTCATCTTGGTGCGCGCAATAAATTTTACTGCAGAAGGCTTCACTCGCGTCTGCCTCTTATTGCTGGGCGATAAGACACGTGGGCGCGACAGCTGATGTGGCTGCTCAGATTCCATTCTCACTGAGTTCCAGCTTTCAGTGCCCCATGCATACCACTCCAAACTCAGACTGAAAAACAGACAGGGGCTCTGCTGCCGGAGCCCGTGGGCTGAAAGCAGGCCCCCGCCAGGTGCCAGCCCTGAGTGGGCAGCCATGGAACGATGGCCACCCTGCCTGCCTGCGTGGTAGGGGAGGGTCAGGTCGTGCCAGGTCGCACCAATGGAACCCGAGGCTGAAGTGGTCACACAGTGAGCGAGGCCTACAGGAAGGAGGGGCTGCAGCAGGTGGGCCCGTGCGACCACAGGGCACTGACCAGGCATGGCCTGGCGCCAGCAGTGGGCACAGGAACAGCAGACAGCAAGAGCCCAGGTGCTCGAGTCGAAGGAAGCCACACAGGCACAGGGTCACAAGGCCACGCTGCACTGTGCCGGCAGAGCCTGCAGTACGGGAGCGTGAGACTGAGCACCACATGGAAGCAGGGCAGGTCCCTCACGGCCCTCACGCGTGACACGCAGCACGGCTCATGCAGTGTGGCTTCATCCAGCCTCAGAAACGCCAAGTGCTGTGCGGGGGCGGGACAGCCCTTCCCGTGAGCACCTCCTGCACGGCTGGCACAGAGGGCACCACAGCCCACAGAGGGGCCCGGCTGCGGAGCCGGGATGCCTGGTCTTGCCCTGCTGCGGGGTAGAGTGGAGATGCCCGGGGCACAGGCTGGATGGCCAGTGCCCAGGGAGTGGAGGGTGTGAGACCAGGACAAGATGCCCAGCCAAGTGCCCTCTGAGAGCTGGAGACAGTGTGGGTAGGAGGACAGACCAAGTCAGAAGCACATAGGTCATTGCCAGGAAGCCGGGGCTCAGGAGGGACAAGGAACGCAGAACACGAGGTCGGTGACACAGGGCAGAGACGTGACCGGGCCAGGAAGGGAGGGACCACTGAGGAGAGGTACTGGGCCTCGCCCACTGCAGGCTCCCTCCCACATTCCCCAACTCCGGGAGACTCGGCCCCAGCGGCCCGGAGCGAAGACAGCGGCCCCGGGGTGCTGCAGGGGTGCAAGGGGACTCAGAACTCTGTCCCCACGTGGGAGACGCAGATGGACATGTTGGCTCCTGGTTCGGCCTGGCTCTGGTCTGGCCCAGCGCTGGCCCCTGGCTCTGGCCTGGCCTTGGTTTGGCCCAGCGCTGGCCCCTGGCTCTGGCCTGGCCTTGGTTTGGCCCAGCGCTGGCCAGTGTGGCCATTTGGGGAGTGAGCCAGCAGATGTAAAGCTCTAGATCTCTCCCTCTCTCTTAATTCTTTCAAAATAAACAAAATCTTTTTAAAAATTAGACAAGAGGGCCCAGCACCGATGCCTAGCAGCTAAAGTCCCCACTTTGAACGCACCAGGATCCCATATGGGTGCCGGTTCTAATCCCAGCAACTCCACTTCCCATCCAGCTCCCTGCTTGTGGCCTGGGAAAGCAGTTGAGGACAGCCCAAAGCCTTGGGACCCTGCACCCTTGTGGGAGACCCAGAAGAAGTTCCTGGCTCCTGGCTTCAGATCGGCGCAGCACCGGCCGTTGTGCTCACTTGAGGAGTGAATCATCAGATGGAAGATCTTCCTCTCTGTCTCTCCTCCTCTCTGTGTGTCTGACTTTGTAATAAAAATAAAGTAAATCTTTTTTTTTTTAAGATTTATTTTTATTATGTTTTTATTGGAAAGGCGGATATACAGAGAGGAGAAACAGAGAGGAAGATCTTCCGTCCGATGATTCACTCCCCAAGTGAGCGCAACGGCCGATGCTATGCCAATCTGAAGCCAGGAGCCTCTTCTGGGTCTCCCACGCAGGTGCAGGGTCCCAAGGCTTTGGGCTGTCCTCGACTGCTTTCCCCGGGCCACAGGCAGGGAGCTGGAAGGGAAGTGGGGCTGCCGGGATAGAACCGGCGCCCATATGGGCTCCCGGGCGTGCAAGGTGAGGACCTTAACCACTGCACCACCGCACCGGGCCCTAAAATAAATCCTTAAAACAATAAATAAATCTTTATACAAAAGGGCCTGGCACGGTGGCCTAGCAGCTAAAAGTCCTTGCCTTGAACACCTGGATCCTATATGGGCGCCAGTTCTAATCCCGGCAACTCCACTTCCCATCTAGCTCTCTGCTTGTGGCCTGGGAAAGGAGTCAAAGACGGCCCAAAGCCTTGGGACCCTGCAGCCACGTAGGAGACCCGGAAGAAGCTCCTGGCTCCTGGTTTTGGATGAGCGCAGAACTGGCTATTGTGGCCACTTGGGGAGTGAATCATCGGACGGAAGATCTTCCTCTCTCTCTCTCCCCTCCTCTATATATCTGACTTTGCAACAAAAATAAATTTAAAAAAAAAAAAAAGGATACAAAGAAGAATCTACTCCAATTGGTGAAATCAAGCAAGGAGATCGGGCCCACGACAAACGTGCCCGGGTTAAACTCCTCCTGGAACAAACCTGCCAAGTGGGAGACTTGCAATGGGAGCGAGGGCCGGGGCGTGGAGTACTCAGCAGGCTGCCAGCTAGCAGAGGGGCACCCATGCTTGGCTTCCGTCCTACGAATCCACTTCGGACCCAGATCCTGCTAACCCACCCGAGAGGCAGCCCAAGAACCAAGCGCCCCCGGCACCCAGCCAGAGACAGATGGCTCCTGGCTTCAGCCTGCCCCAGCCCCTGGCAAGCAGTGGAGGATGGCCCAAGTGTTTAGACCCCTGCAACCCGGGGGGGAGACCCAGCAGAAACTACTGGTCCCTGCCTTTGGCCTGGCCTAGCCCCAGCCACAGTGGCCCTCTGGGGAGTGCCCAGCTGATGAAAGCTCCATCTCTCTGTCCCCCCATGCCCTGCGCCCGCACCGCACACCCCTCACTGTCCTGCCCCCAGCCTCCATTTCCCTCTCTCTCCCTCCTCCCTGTCACTCTGCCTTTCCAAAAGTGAATAATAAAATCTTTTTAAAACAATAAACTTGACCTGACAGACACGCACTGAATGCTATGCCAAAAATAAGTGAAATACTCTTTCAAATGCAAATAGAAAGCTTGCAAAATTGACCATAGCTGGCCAGTGATGGACGAACAGCAAGCAACTAGCCCTCACAGGTCAGACTCCAATCCCAAGGCAACAAACCCAACACGGCAGCGCATGGAGACCCACCTCTGTGGGAACCACAAGACTTCCAGGGCAACCCAGGCACCAAGGCAGAAATCACAACAGACGGTTCACAAGATCCAGGGATGAAGAGGTTAATGGCACACACGTGCAGGAAATGACAAACAGCAAGAACAAAGCTGCTTCTCTGAAACTAATGAAGCCCTCAGAGGACAGCTCAAGGGCAGGGGAGGGTGGAGGGACAAGACAGGGGCACCGGAGGACGGAGGACGAGGACGGAGGACGGGGGATGGAGGGTGGAGGATGAGAACAGGGGACGGGAGATTGGAGGACGAGGGATGGGAGGACAAGATAGGGGACGGGGCATGGGGGATGGGAGGATGGGAGGAGGGGAGGACAGAGGATGGAGGATAGGAGATGGGGGATGGGAGGAGGGGAGGACAGAGGATGGAGGACGGGGGATGGGAGGATGGGAGGATGGAGGATGGAGGACGGGGGATGGGAGGACAGAGGATGGAGGACGGGGATGGGAGGATGGGAGGACAGAGGATGGAGGACGGGGGATGGGAGGACAGGTGACAACGGCAGCCCGGGAGCTGGGGCCTAGCCACCCCATGGGCTGCCCCCGGGAGGTCCTGCCACCACACACCTCACCCCCCAGCCCCGGAACAACAGCTGTCCCGCAGCCGAACCGGGGGAGCAGCCGGTGTGAACTCACCACAGCCTGGGCCTCCCCCAGCCCGTGTGCCATCTGTGTGCCACGCTTTCTCCTGCTTGTGTCGCTCCCCAATGGAGGCCAGTGCTGCCTCTGAGGTTCCAACTACTGTGGAGTCCCACCCACGCCATGCAGCTCCCAGCCCAGGGGGCTGAGGCCACACCACACTCAGCTCATGGCAGGCAGATCTCACAGCAGTGGAGTCTGGGAGCACGGATCTGAGAGCGAGCAGACTCTTGAGGTTAGCTGCCACCATCCCCAGCCCTGGGATTCACCTGGGCTCCTCTCCTTTCTTGGACAAGACCATGGCAATAACTCCACTGGTGTCCTCGGCAGGACCAGAGGCAGTGTGGCAAGTGCAAAGCAAGAGCCTGTGTGTGAGTGCTCCCTCTCTAACAAGGCCGGCGTGTGAGTGCTCCCTCTCTGACCGACAAGGCCGGCATGTGAGTGCTCCCTCTCTGACTGACAAGGCCTGCCCATGACACATGAGTGGACCTCTGCGTGCTCTGGCCTCCTCAGGGAAGACACGCTGTTCGAGCAGTGCTCCATCTGATCCCTGACACAGCCATCACCTATGGCACAGTCCTCCCCCAGTACAGACCCGTCAGGGCTCTCTCCAGCACTGCTTAGATCCACAGAGCGCTCACGGCCTCAGCCCGCCCACCCTACCACTGCAGCCTGCATGAGGCTGCCACCCGGGCAGCCCCCTGCACGGACCATCGCACTCTGGCATGGTTGGAGCTGGGGGTACGCATCTTCCTGCCAGGCCAAGCACCCACCAGGGAAGTGAGGGGACTCAGCCCGCAGGGTTTCTGGGGCACGTGCCGCACAGTGTTGCCACGCTGCAGACTGAGGCAGTGGGAGCAGCTGCCCCGTTGAGAGCACAGCCGGGAGCCCCAGGGCTAACCCCAAGTGACAGGGGGCCCCCGTGCCTTGGCCCCCGCGGGCATTCCAGACCAGTGGGTCCCTTGCTGTGACACGGCAGGAGGAAGCCGGCCATACTTACAGTTGCGCCTGCTTCTCTGCCAGCTCTTTGGTTTTCTCCTACAATTACAAAGAGAAAGGAAGTCAGACCATTGGGGGTCACCGGGGTACCCCGAACCCCACATCCCCAGGGCATCCTGTGCCCCTCCTGTGTCGTGGCAGGAAGAGCACTCCCCCCACCACTCGCCTGGGTCTCCCAGTGGGTGCAGGGGCCCAGCACTCGGGCCCGTCCGCTCTTCCTCAGGGGCATTACCTGGGAGCTGGGCAGAGCAGCCAGAACTGCAGGCGGTGGTGTAACCCCCTACACCACAACACCAGCCCCATACTTTTTTCTTTTCTAGTGCAAAAAACCCCTCTGTGGTCCTTGCACAGTTAAAACCCGTTTTCCAGGCACATTTATAAGATTTCCACATACACAGCCTTCACAATTCTGCTCATGTTCCCGAAGCCCTCACGCCGTGTCACGCACGTGTGTCAGCACCCGGACACAGCTGCACGGTGACACGTGCACGCATGCCCCCCGGCACCCTGGGAGCTCCTGCAGCAGGAATGACTGCTAGCTGATCCTGGGCTCCTGTGAGGCACGGCCAGCTGCGCTGTGCACATCTGCTGCTCAGCGAGTGGCGGGCAGGGGCGTGAAGCACAGGCCAGCACAGGGCTCCAGCCAGGCGAGGAGGCCGTGGGAGGCGCGTGGCGAGCAGGGGAGCCTGGACTGAGATGCCCACACCGGACTGGAGGTCACAGTGGAGGCACGAGCCTCGGCTTCCGGGGCACTGTGGGGAGCTGTAGGCGGTGCAGCCTCAGCTGGACCCTGGCTGGATGGGGACATCGGCCACGGGACCCCCGGGCCAGGGCCCCAGACCCTGCCGCCCTGCTGCCTCGGCTGTGACGTGTGATACAGTGGCACGAGGCTCGGCTGGCATGAGGACGAGGTCACGCAGCTCTGGCTGAGGAGCATGGCCCAGCAGAGCGACTCTGCAACTCTACACTCCTGTGACTGTCCCCACAGCAGACGGACCGCACCTAGTCACCAGGCACAGAAGGGCAAGGCCACGCTGTGTGCGGGAAGCCAAGGACACAAGGACAGGACAGCTTGTGGCTTCAGCTTGTAACACACGGTCAAGGTCCTAGGCCAGTGACCCAGGCCTGGCTGGGCCTCAGGGAGAAGCATGCCTGCGTCTCAGGCAGCACCTGCCGGCCCGGGAGGTGTCAGGGCCCTCCCTCAGGACAGTGCCCTGACTGACCCAGACTGTTGCACGGATTGCTCTGGCGATTCTCAGCAGGAGCTGCCCGAACGTGCCAGGTTCCAAGCGCGTGGCTGAGTGCTGGATGCAGAGGCAGAGGAGGAAGGCGGGGGTCAGCTTGTGGTCGTCACCCCCGGGCTCGACGAGCGTCAGGATCCTTTGCAGCAGGGGGCCCTCCTCCTCGCGCTCAAACTCCAGGTGCAGCCGCTGTCGGCGTGGCAGTGCATCAGGCGGCGAGGAGGTGGTGCCCGGGGCCTGCAGCGTGGCACCGCACACCCGGCAGCTCTGTGGCACGGCCCGCAGGCGCGCCAGGGCCCGAGTGGGCAGCGGCTGGGCCTGCGCGGGGTCCTTAAACAGCAGCAGGTAGTAGAGGCCCAGGGAAAGCAGGTCTCCGTGCTGCAGGACCACCGTCCGCCGCCCCACCTCGGAGAAGTTGACGGAGACGGGCGCCCCAGGAATGGGCTCCAGCAGCAGCTGGGGGGCTGCCCCGCCTGGGGGCAGGTGCCGGCGGATGGTGCAGTGCAGGGGCAGGATGTCGGGCGCTGAGAGGCTGATGCTGGGCTTGCTGGAGGGCGTCCGCTGGCCCACTGTGTGCCGCTCGCGGCTCAGCACATACACCAGGCTGTCCTGAAACACACATGTGCATGGCGCTTAGGGCCGGGCACCCCCGGCACTTCCAGCAGAAGCAGGGAAATAGCACGGGGCCCTCTCTGTGTCTTCCAGCCACGTGGCAGGGACTGCAGGCTCTGGGTGCTGCTCTGTCCCACACCCACCCTCCTGTGTGTCTAGGGGGCAGTTCACCCCAAATGCCCTGGTGTGTTGAGGAGGAGGCAAGGCAGGCCTTGTCCCTTGCCGCCCAGCTTCGGGAGGGAGGACATCTGGGAGAGGGCTACCAGGAGCCCCAACGATGTCACCAAGTCTCCTGGTCGTGCAGCGGGAAGGCGCTGGGCAGGGAGGACAACGGCTGGAGTGGGCCTGAGCAGGCCCTGCAGCGGCTCAGCACCCCGCACCACCGCTGGGACGAGAGAATGGATGGGCCCACCGCGCGTCCCTGCCCTGGCCTGTGCCCTTCCCCGAGCCAGGCCAGCAGCAGACCCGCAGAAGATCAAGGAGTGGAGCGGGTTCCCCAGAGGGTCCGGGTGCCAGGAAAAGGCCCCTTGAGGCGCCATCTGCCTCGGGCAGCAGGACAGGCCAGCCTGGCGTTCCCTACCCACCCCGTGCTACAACCCCATGTGCCTGCAGTGGCCTGGGCTGAGGGGCAGAAGGGGCCCTGCCTTCTCGGGGTCAGGGAGGGCAGGCTCACGTGCTGCTGGCTGTAGCCCTGCAGGAGGAGCAGGTGCGGGCTCTGGAAGAGGGAGCAGCGCATGGCGTCCTGGTCGGGCTCCTCAGTGCCCCGGGACACGTCAGGCAGGGTGGCGGCTGGGCTCAGGCTGGTCTCACTGACTGTGCGGCGCAGTCGGGGCTGGGGGGAGCTCCGGGGAGCCACGGGGGTCAGGGCTGGGGTTCCTTTCGCACGGATCCGCTGCAGCCTCCGGGCCTGCGCATTTATCCCTGAGACACAAGCAGCACAGTGTCAAGTCTCCCAGGAGCTCGCACACTTGAACCCTGCTCAGCCACTTCCCCGACCCGTCACTGCCCTGGCAAGGCAGGGCTGCAGGAAGCCCAACTAGGTCCAGTGAGCACAGCCCTGAAAAGGCTGGGCAGCACCCTGGCACCACCATGGAGCAAGTAGTTGAGCTGTCCACTCCCTGAGGCCCAGAGGGGACTACATCACCTCCAGGAGCCAGGTGACACCCCTCTGCCCGCCCAAGCATCAGCACCACAGCCCTCAGGTAGCAGACCCATCGGGCTTTTCCCGCCATAGCCCTGGCCTCTGCCCCAGCCAGCTCACCACTGCAAGAAGTGAGGAAGCAAGCAGGAACCCCACAAGCCCAAATAAGCAGTCAGCTTGCCATTGCTCCCCAGCCCCACAGCCACCAGAGCTCAGCCCTGCCACAGCACACCTGCTACTGCCTTAGACTCCCTCCGCTGGCAGGCACGTGCACACAGGCACACACACCTGCACGGAACGACACACACCCAGACACACGTGCAATGTGCACGAGGCACACATGCACACAAACGCAACCGCCTGCGAGAACACCCGCCCACACCAGACTTCCCAAGTTCGCAAACACGGGAGGTGCTCTCTGAACGAAGGCTGCTGGGAAAGCTGCGGGCACCCAGGAGCCCGGCTCCTCGCTCCACGGCCAGCCCCGAGTTTCCTCCCCTGAGCCCTCCGCTGTCTCCGCCACACAGCCTTGTCCCATCTAGGGTCTTTTCCCTCAGCCATTCCGAGAGAAAGCCGAGCGGAGGCCAGTGAGGGAGCGGCGAGGGCGCGCCTTACCGGAGCAGCCGCGAGCCCTGCCCCCGCAGGAAGGAGGCCGCAGCGCATCTGCAGCCCGCAGGGGGCCCGGGCCGCGCAGGGAGGGAGGGGGCCGGGCGGCGCAGGGAGGGCCCGGGCAGCTCCCGCAGCACTCCTGCTCGCTGCAGCGCCCAGCTCAGCCCGGCCAGGGAGCCCACCCACCACTCCCCCAAGAACAGCAGGGGCTCCGTTTGGCCTCACTGCAAAACCGTGGGGCCAAAGCTGCAGGAAGAAAAACACACACAGCCCCAAATGACATCCGTCTCCACGCTATTCCCAAACCTAGGGCTAGGTTTCAGGAGAGGATGAGCCCACCGTGTCCTTCCAGCAGGCCTGGGGCTGCAGGCACAGCAAGCCAGAGTCCTCTCGGGTTCCTAGGGGGCCCTGGCAATGGCCAGCAGCACAGGATGGCCCAGGCCAGGGTTCCCTGGGGCCACAGCCCCTGCCCTGCACCCCTCCAGGAGGGGTCCCACACACCTCGCAGACACCCCACCCCCAGGGCTCTGGGGCCCCAGGCTGATCCACCAGCAGGTCAGAACCAGAACTGCAACCCTGGGGTCTACTCCCAGCATGTCCTCCTTTGGCTCCTGGTTGCCTCCAAAGGCTACAATACAACCTGTGGCCAGGAGCTGGCAACAGCTGGCACTGTAGCCAAGACCACACACACAGACCAGAGCAGGTGGGGCAGCAGTGTCCACTACCAACACACAGAAGCATGCAGTACGATCAGACCACCCTTGGCACACACATGGACACACACTCACTGGCACAGACACTACCACAGGTGCACCCACACAGGCCTGCACACACTTGGGCACGACCATATGCTGACTCTGTACCAGGATGGTCATGGCAGTCCAGCAGGCATCAGCAAAGATGGCTCAAGTTGGGGAGAATCAACATGGCAGAACAGAGTAAGGACACATTGAAATGGACAGAAAAACATTTAATCAGGATGAAGCAGAGAGGACACATTCCAGGAAATAGGAGAGGACAGAACAACAGCAGAGGGGCACCTGGAGACTGACAGACACAGGAAAGCAGCGGGCACAGCAGTGTGGTGTTGCAGTGACTGATATTCCAGCAGCATTCAGCTAATGGCGATCTGAACTCCACCAGCAACCAGGTGGGAAGGGACTTTCACTGGGAGCTTGGGAGGTGAAACCAGACAAGAACTGTCCATCCTGCTGGACCGTTTGATTTGATCAGGAGCAGAGACAGAGCAGCACGTCCCAGACGGGCAGTGCTGGAACAGCGTGGATTTCACAGCCTAGTTTGCATATACTGAGCTGGGAGTGAACTCATTTCTAACTCAGTGAACTGCAGCAATGCAGCATCCTACAGGTTCCACCCACGACAGGTCTGGGTAGCCCTCAGACCTGACAGCCAGCAGATCAAGAATTCCAGTGGTGGTACATCAGGTGCCATTTTGTACAATGTGGCAAAAGTTTAGGGCTGCAGGGACAACAGTGAACTGTGCATGTGCTGAGCTCATGAGAACTCACTAAGTTCAGTGAACTGCACTAGTCCTGCAGGAAAATAATACCGACTGTGGCATCGTATGGGTCAAAATAGGTCCGTGTGGCACCCAGACCTAATGTCCAACTGGTTCCAGCAAGATCAGCGCCACCAACAACCTAGCTATGTAGGACACCTGGTGTCTTCCAATCCTGGGATTTGCTCCAAGCAGAAGTGGGTGAAAGGTTGTACAGACAATGGTGCAGCCTCAGCACGGTATCACAGGAGGTGGAGACTGGTGAGCCAGCAGCTGGGGCTATGGAGTTTTTGGTGGAAATCTAACATAAGAACCCAGACCTGGAACCTGCTGGAGGGAGAGGCACAATTGGCTGCAAGCAAAGACTTGTGTACCAACTGCAATAAGTAAACTGAACTGTAGACCTGTGGGAGACACAGCTTAGAAACCTGCCCCAAGGAGAAGACTCTGCTAACCAAAAGTACAATGACCAAGAGCAAAAAAAAGAGACAAAGGCACAATGAATATTACTGAAAACTCCCCTGCAAAGGAGCAAAACCCTATGCCAACCTCAGAGTTAACTGAGGAAGACATCGAGAAAATGGGGCATACAGAATTCAGAAAACTCATTATAAAGCTTCTGATCAACAATGAGAAGCACAAACAAGAGTTCAAAAAAATTAAGGAATATATTACACAAGAAATAGCAGCAATAAAGCAAATCAAGGCTGATATATCAGAAATTAAGAACACAGTAGAGCAAATTACAAGTACAGTGGAGAGTCTCCAAAATAGAATGAAGCAAGCAAAAGAAAGAATCTCAGAATTGAAAGATATCTCCTGTCACCAGGGGGAAGCAAACAAAAAGCTGGAAGCAGAGCTGGATCAGGCCAAAAAAAGTATTCAAGAATTGAAAGACACTATTAAGAGCCCAAATATAAGAGTTATGGGACGGTGGGTCTCAGGACGGGGCGTCTCATGCCTGGATTCCGGACGGCCGCCATGGGCACATGGTGAGCCGTCCTCCCCGGGCCTGCTGGGTTTCGGGGGCCGCTTCCTTCGGGGTGAGTAGACCGAGGGGGGGAGGCCTCCGGGACTGGGCAGGTCCGGCACCCAGCCACCGCCCTCATTGGGCGGTGAAGGGGATTTGGGAGGGGCGCGACCTTGGGCCTGGGAATTTTAAACCTCCAGCTGCCTCCTGGCAGCTGGTGGGTCTCAGGACGGGGCGTCTCATGCCTGGATTCCGGACGGCCGCCATGGGCACATGGTGAGCCGTCCTCCCCGGGCCTGCTGGGTTTCGGGGGCCGCTTCCTTCGGGGTGAGTAGACCGAGGGGGGGAGGCCTCCGGGACTGGGCAGGTCCGGCACCCAGCCACCGCCCTCATTGGGCGGTGAAGGGGATTTGGGAGGGGCGCGACCTTGGGCCTGGGAATTTTAAACCTCCAGCTGCCTCCTGGCAGCTGGTGGGTCTCAGGACGGGGCGTCTCATGCCTGGATTCCGGACGGCCGCCATGGGCACATGGTGAGCCGTCCTCCCCGGGCCTGCTGGGTTTCGGGGGCCGCTTCCTTCGGGGTGAGTAGACCGAGGGGGGGAGGCCTCCGGGACTGGGCAGGTCCGGCACCCAGCCACCGCCCTCATTGGGCGGTGAAGGGGATTTGGGAGGGGCGCGACCTTGGGCCTGGGAATTTTAAACCTCCAGCTGCCTCCTGGCAGCTGGTGGGTCTCAGGACGGGGCGTCTCATGCCTGGATTCCGGACGGCCGCCATGGGCACATGGTGAGCCGTCCTCCCCGGGCCTGCTGGGTTTCGGGGGCCGCTTCCTTCGGGGTGAGTAGACCGAGGGGGGGAGGCCTCCGGGACTGGGCAGGTCCGGCACCCAGCCACCGCCCTCATTGGGCGGTGAAGGGGATTTGGGAGGGGCGCGACCTTGGGCCTGGGAATTTTAAACCTCCAGCTGCCTCCTGGCAGCTGGTGGGTCTCAGGACGGGGCGTCTCATGCCTGGATTCCGGACGGCCGCCATGGGCACATGGTGAGCCGTCCTCCCCGGGCCTGCTGGGTTTCGGGGGCCGCTTCCTTCGGGGTGAGTAGACCGAGGGGGGGAGGCCTCCGGGACTGGGCAGGTCCGGCACCCAGCCACCGCCCTCATTGGGCGGTGAAGGGGATTTGGGAGGGGCGCGACCTTGGGCCTGGGAATTTTAAACCTCCAGCTGCCTCCTGGCAGCTGGTGGGTCTCAGGACGGGGCGTCTCATGCCTGGATTCCGGACGGCCGCCATGGGCACATGGTGAGCCGTCCTCCCCGGGCCTGCTGGGTTTCGGGGGCCGCTTCCTTCGGGGTGAGTAGACCGAGGGGGGGAGGCCTCCGGGACTGGGCAGGTCCGGCACCCAGCCACCGCCCTCATTGGGCGGTGAAGGGGATTTGGGAGGGGCGCGACCTTGGGCCTGGGAATTTTAAACCTCCAGCTGCCTCCTGGCAGCTGGTGGGTCTCAGGACGGGGCGTCTCATGCCTGGATTCCGGACGGCCGCCATGGGCACATGGTGAGCCGTCCTCCCCGGGCCTGCTGGGTTTCGGGGGCCGCTTCCTTCGGGGTGAGTAGACCGAGGGGGGGAGGCCTCCGGGACTGGGCAGGTCCGGCACCCAGCCACCGCCCTCATTGGGCGGTGAAGGGGATTT